CAGCGGCAGCCTCGCCGCCTCGCACAGCACCGAGTGTGTTTTTGTCACAGCGGCAGCCTCGCCGCCTCGCACAGCACCGAGTGTGTTTTTGTCACCTGAAGGTGACCCCCAGACTTTCGGTTTCCGGCTGTTGCCGAGGCTGGGTCCTGTGGCGGCAGGGTTGTGCTGACAGCGTGGGGAAAGTCGGCTTGCGAGACGCGGAGTAATGTGAGAAAATTCACAGAGCCGGAGGTTTGTGTCTGAAAAGGAGACGGAGGAGTCCTGTAACTTCGTCGAAATAAAGGGAGAGGCCATGGGGCATTTCCCGTGGGATCTTTCACATGACTGGGGTACACAGCCCCATTTTTGCCCTAATTTCCTATCCACATCGCCCTTTTGCTTTGGCCAGGGTTCTCACAAGGTACTTCCCACATCCCCTATTCTAATGTCCCTCTCTACTATGTACCCCCCTTTTTTTTGTTCTTTTTTGTAACAAAACAGTGTTCATAATTTTGTAAAGCCTTTGTTCTTTCTCTTTAAGTTGAGAAATTTAACATGGCCTTGGCTGGGCAGTAGTCTGTGCCAATTAGTGCCATTTTCTAGAACTGATAGTCTCTTCCATCACTTTCCTGTGTGTGAGTCCCTGGCCCTGTCTACAAGGAGATTCACACGGTGTCTTTGCAAAGCCAGTCATCTTACTCCCTTTATGAAGCCCAACTTTCTCTGTGTCCAATGGCCTCACAAAGTCATCTCCATTGGCTATGGAATGTTTTGCAAAATACGCCAATATCATGAAAGTGTGTTAAATAGATTTTGCAAAAAGTGAAGTCCAGAGAGTTTTAAATAATTTGCTTCTTTAATTCTTAGGCATATAAAATCCAGTTTCTTGAGGCATCAAAATGTTACCAGTCAGGTTTAGAGTCCACCACAAACAGCCTGTTTTTCGTACTGATGAAAGGAAACACAAAGTTTTCTCTGGTCTGACATTATGCTAAAAAATAAATAGGATTGTGGAATGCATTTTTAAGCTCTACTGTATGAAATGCACGTGCAAACAATAAAGCTTCACTCCTGCACAGAGGCCATGAGACATACTTCAGATCTTTTGCTGTCCTTGCTGAAAGCTGGCCAAGAGATAGTTTTGGCAGTGGGACTTTGGTTTCAGACTGGGAGAAGAGTTTGCACTTTTGAGGTGTAACTTCAGGGGGATAAAGTGGCAATGTGGGAAACGCTGAAATTGAATTTAATTGTGTGTGGCTGTGTATTCTCCATGACATTTCCATGCTTGTTTTTGGTCCTGGTCTGTTCACATGAAGTTCCATTTTTCATAGACTACAACTTGCAATTCGAGATATCAGGGAACTATTATTGTTAGTGTCAGGGTGACTTTTGTTGTTTTCTAAAACAGAGAGAATGCTGGACAAAGACTACGCAAGCAATTTCTTATGCATAAGCAGTCCAGACTGTAGGTGCTTAACTTTTTAAAACTGTGGGATTGTATAATGATGAAAAGCCAGATTAGTAGTTTTGAAATGAACTAATGTGTCTATATAAATAATCTTTTTTACAAAAGGATCTAGAACATAGTAGAAAGAGCAATTCCCCAACCCCCTTTGACAGACAAAAGTCCATTTTAAAAAAACTTCATGACACTGACATCTTGTACCATCCTGGACCACTTATTTTGGCTGACCACGCTTACTAAACATAAAAAGTTTTTTCTGAAAAGTAGTAGCTCCTCTTTCTAGAGTTTGAATTACTGTTACATATTTTGTCAATATATGACTCCCTATAAAAGGAAACATTTCATTTACAGAAAAGACAATGAATCCAGAGGTTAAATCTTGTGCATCGGGTTGAAAAACTAAGGATGAACTGGTGAGTGAACACAAATTAATGTGGCTCCACTGGTCCTAGTGGGAGCTGTTCTGTGCTGGCTGAGGTTCTGTCCTTCACCAGTTTTGTTGTAACTACATCACAGATGTGCACTTCTGGCTTGCTGCCTTTAAACATACAGTTTCCACTTCACATTAGTTTTTAAGAAAATGTTTCATAAATAAAATGCTTTAGAAATGCAAAGCCAGGGACCTCGCTAGACAGGAAAGCTGGACTGGACGAATGCAGATCAGGCCAATGTGGTCAATCAAACGTTCTCCATTTATTAGTTAGAAGATGGCAGTTTATATACACTTCAATATAGTTTACAGTTTACAGAGGCACTCTCATTGGCAAGCTAATATTGTTTGTCTTTGTCTTAAGGTGGACTAAACTTCACACTATAGACCTATACTAATTCACACCCAGAACACCCAGTGCTTCAAATCACACCTTGATATAATTTCTATCTGCGCCACAAACTCTTAATTTCTAACTGCATTACAGGCTTGAAGGCCTCCCAAGGCCCAGATCTGAGGCAAAAACTGGAGTAGCTCAAATCTCATTCCAGACATAAATCATGCCCTCTCTCTCTCAGAAATGCTGCAACAGAAGTGAGAATAATTTCCTGAAGGCAGCAGAGAGCCAGGTGTGATCCTAAGATGAGTTGTCCATGAGCCCTCTGGATGTGGGCAAAATTGCAAACCATGCCTGAGGTACAGTGGTATAAAGGGATGATATGGGCAGAGGTGAGTACCAGACAAGGTGAACAAGAGCTGAAGCACTGAGATGCTTCTCTGCAAGGGAAGAACAAATGACCACAGAAAGTTTCCCAGTGATAATGAAAGATGGGCTAATTAAAACCTGCCTTCCAGCAACCAAATGAAGACAAGGTTACTGCTACAGAAGCATGTCATGTTCTGACAATTACCTAAAGGGAATGGTAAATCACTGGACTGGCTGCTACTCTTTATCACTGAATTATTTTCATGGGTTTCTGGCATAATTTCAGGGGGAATTTGAAGCAACATGTTATTTATTCTGTTATATTAGTATTAAGTAAAACAAAAACGAGAATACCCATAATATGTGAAACTGTGAGTATGGAATTCCAAGCCAAAGTTGTTCCAGATGTTGTGAATCAGTTTTTATAAGAAAATTTGGCATTTAATGCAGGTCTTGAGATGCAAACTCCCGGGGTTTTACACAGTTTGTGCACACTGAGGCTGTAGAATTAGGGACTGTAATTGTAAATTAATAAATAATCTTTCAGTTCTTGGCATGTGCTCTGTTCTGATGTGTAGTTCAGATCTGAAGAAAATTCTATTGGGATGAGATGGAGAAGAGAGACATGAGAGAAGTGTTCATTAACCTTTCCCCTCCATAGCAGAGTTGGAGAGCATTTGTTTGAAGCTTTGCTGATATTCACACAACTTTGTCTTTACACAAGTAAAGGAAATACACACCTTTTACACAGCTTGAACTTACTTAAGTGCTGCAGTTACAGCTACTTTGAACATTACATCGAATATCACAAATACATGTGGGCAAGAAAATGACCTCTTGCAAATGAAAATCATTCCTTTGGTTGATTGCTGTTGGAATGAAAGGCAAACTTTAGCAAATCCAGTACTACTGAGGCAAGTGGGAGGAATCAAAAGGCTAAACTGCTGTACTAAAACAAAGCAAAACAGGCTCCGGTGTGCAGATTCCTCTGAAGTCACAGAAGATAAATGAGTTAAGGTAGAGACAGGGCAGAATACAAAGCTTTGTCTGAAAGCCAAGAAAAAAAAACAAAGCAACTTAAAAAGGCTCAAAGAACAACCATAACACTTTTTAACTTGGCTGAAAAGGAAGGCTTTATCTAGAAGACAAAATACAAACAGAGAAAGGGAGATAAACAAAATTTTTCACTTGTTTTAGGTTCCATGACCATCAAAGCAGTCTTATTTTTTTTTGTCACAGGTGAAGAGAATGAAATGTTTGGTTCATTTCTTTCTGTTTTTAGAGAGTCTCTCAGATGTGCATTTTAAATTGCTTCATATTATCTTTCCAGCACAGTAAGTCGTATTACTGGCTGATAAAATCTTACAGTTTTTTGGTATTTTAATCCCAATTTAAAACAATTTTCAGGGTGATGTCTGGACGTAGCAACAACAACAACATAAAACACGTCCAAGAGAAATTTTGTAGGATTATTTAAAAATAGATTTCTTAATATAAGACATTTGATTTTTTTTTTCAACTGGATTTTATGAAAGTATTTAGCACCTTGCTTTTCATTCATGCATTCTTTGGGATCTCTGTTAGTGAATATTAGTGTGCTGCTATGTTCTTCTGTAACCTACAGAATTTAACTGTAGGTATTTCTAAAATTGTACTGGAAACCACAGCATCATTTTTGTCAAATGTCAGCTTTCCTATACCTAAAGCCTCTGTATCATTGGAAATTTGAGATGTAATACTTCTGTTGAGCTGACAGTGGGAGTAATCACATTATCAACAGGAAACCATTCTTGTTTTCTTGGTATGTCTCTGTTCTAATTCAGAAAGGACCAAGACAAAAAAAATACTGCTACTGTAATCTGTAATATATTTCTGTGCAGCAAAGGTGCTGTAACATCCCCACCATGGAACGTGGGTAGCCAGCAGAGTTAGAACTTCTCTCTGTGGTGTTGTCCAACACCGGCACTTGCTGGATCTCTGTGTGCCCTATGCTGATGATTTTAAGTAAATTGCATTTACATCAAATGTGTCAGGAGTCAATATGGAAATGTATCATGGTGGCATATTTCTTCTGATAATGTTCTGAGTGCAGAGTGCTCGCTGATCCCTTGCACAGGTAGGGCACAGAGAAAGGAGATGAGTCCAGGACTGGAAAGCATTTGAGTTTTCATAAAATTTGGTATCTGACACATTTCCCTTTAGAAAAGATATGGAGAGGATTTTGAGTTCTTTCAATGCAGACCAAAGACTAATTTCAGACTTTGAAAGTTTGTTGTGAACCAGAGCTGGCATTTTTTGGGAGCTCTGTAAATTTTAGAATAGCCTTCTCTGTAACACCAAATTATGTAATGCAAAAAAAAAAAACAACTAATATAATATATGGCTTTCATTATTTCTTTTCTGAGAGGAATTGCCGTAAAGGCACATCATTTCTCCACTCTCAGAAACTGAGGTACTCCAGCCTTTGATTCTGCTGCCATAGCCACACAGGCTTGCTGAAATACTCAAGTTGGTTGCTGTTTTCTGATAGCAAACCATACTTACAGGTTTTTTTCCCGCCATGTAACCTCCTTTTCCTCTCCTGGAGCTGTCAGGAGGAAATTGAGAGATTTTTTCCCATCCTAGA